TTCCTGTAGTACCGTTGCTGTAGTACTGTTCCTGTAGTACCATTGCTGTAGTACTGTTGCTGTAGTACCGTTGCTGTAGTACTGTTGCTGTGTAACCATTGCTGTAGTATTGTTCCTGTAGTACCATTGCTGTAGTACTATTCCTGTAGTACCGTTGCTGTAGTACTGTTGCTGTAGTGCTGTTGCTGTAGTGCTGTTGCTGTAGTGCTGTTCCTGTAGTACTGTTCCTGTAGTGCTGTTCCTGTAGTACCGTTGCTGAAGTACCGTTGCTGTAGTACCGTTCCTGTAGTACCGTTGCTGTAGTACCGTTTCTGTAGTACTGTTCCTGTAGTACCGTTTCTGTAGTACCGTTGCTGTAGTACCGTTGCTGTAGTACCATTGCTGTAGTACTGTTCCTGTAGTGCTGTTGCTGTAGTACCGTTGCTGTAGTATCGTTGCTGTAGTACTGTTCCTGTAGTACCGTTGCTGAAGTACCGTTGCTGTAGTACTGTTCCTGTAGTGCTGTTCCTGTAGTACTGTTGCTGTAGTGCTGTTCCTGTAGTACTGTTCCTGTAGTACCGTTGCTGTAGTACTGTTGCTGTTTAACCATTGCTGTAGTATTGTTCCTGTAGTACCATTGCTGTAGTACTGTTGCTGTAGTACCGTTGCTGTGTAACCATTGCTGTAGTATTGTTCCTGTAGTACCATTGCTGTAGTACTGTTCCTGTAGTGCTGTTCCTGTAGTACCGTTGCTGAAGTACCGTTGCTGTAGTACTGTTGCTGTAGTACCATTGCTGTAGTATCGTTGCTGTAGTGCTGTTCCTGTAGTACTGTTGCTGTAGTGCTGTTCCTGTAGTGCTGTTGCTGTAGTACCGTTGCTGTAGTACTGTTGCTGTTTAACCATTGCTGTAGTATTGTTCCTGTAGTACCATTGCTGTAGTACTGTTCCTGTAGTGCTGTTGCTGTAGTGCTGTTGCTGTAGTGCTGTTGCTGTAGTGCTGTTGCTGTAGTGCTGTTGCTGTAGTGCTGTTCCTGTAGTACTGTTGCTGAAGTACCGTTGCTGTAGTACCGTTGCTGTAGTATCGTTGCTGTAGTACTGTTCCTGTAGTACCATTGCTGTAGTACTGTTCCTGTAGTGCTGTTCCTGTAGTACTGTTCCTGTAGTGCTGTTGCTGTAGTGCTGTTCCTGTAGTACTGTTGCTGAAGTACCGTTGCTGTAGTACTGTTCCTGTAGTACCATTGCTGTAGTACTGTTCCTGTAGTGCTGTTCCTGTAGTACCGTTGCTGAAGTACCGTTGCTGTAGTACCGTTCCTGTAGTACCGTTGCTGTAGTACTGTTCCTGTAGTGCTGTTCCTGTAGTACCGTTGCTGAAGTACCGTTGCTGTAGTACCGTTCCTGTAGTACTGTTCCTGTAGTACTGTTGCTGTAGTGCTGTTCCTGTAGTGCTGTTGCTGTAGTGCTGTTGCTGTAGTGCTGTTCCTGTAGTGCTGTTGCTGTAGTGCTGTTGCTGTAGTGCTGTTGCTGTAGTGCTGTTCCTGTAGTGCTGTTGCTGTAGTGCTGTTCCTGTAGTACTGTTCCTGTAGTGCTGTTCCTGTAGTACTGTTGCTGTAGTGCTGTTCCTGTAGTGCTGTTGCTGTAGTGCTGTTGCTGTAGTGCTGTTCCTGTAGTGCTGTTGCTGTAGTACCGTTGCTGTAGTATCGTTGCTGTAGTACTGTTCCTGTAGTACCGTTGCTGTAGTACTGTTCCTGCTCACCTTAGGGCAGACTTTGACAGTACTAATGCTTCACATCAGCGTCAGTGTCTGGGTGCAGAGAGAACCACTGGTCCAGTTTTCTCTCCAGTCTGTGGTTGTGGTTCCAAACATATGGTGCGCCTCTCAGTCTTGGGTCAGTCACACCACTCTACTTGTCGTTTCTAGATCTGTTTCTGGTCCGCACCGTCGTTGCCATTCTTGGAAAAGGCCTGTCTGAAGCTGCCTTCACCACCGTCATGCTCTTCACCTCAGAACTTTACCCCACGGTCATCAGGTTGGTCACACTCTGTCCAAGGTCACACTCTGTCCAAGGTCACACTCTGTTGTCCAAGGTCACACTCTGTCCA